ATCGACTGTTAGTTAAGCTTATGCAATAAAAAACCGAACTTATGTCATGTGACTCATCATCGACCCATTTTTCGTTTAACTACTAGGTACAGGTTCATTTCGATGGTCCATTTTGTAAGTACACACAATACATACACTACATTTAGAATTAGTATATCTATTAAAATACAAAGAGAAGACATATTTTAAAGTTTTTCATTTTAATTCAATATAGGTAATCAAATTCGCCTGTCCTTATTAAAATGTATATGAATAAAAATTTATTTCAAAACTAGTAGGCCAACTGTCAAAATAGGAACAAAGAAGGCAATAACGCAATTAGTAATAATTAGGACAAAATTAGAAATATTATCTTTCCCAATCCATCGATAAAACTGTCGACAACAACTACATTACTATTTAAAATTTTATGAAAACTGGGAACCCTAAAATGTCATTTTACTTCGTCTTCAAAAAAGTTGGACTTAAAATTAGCCAAAATAATTTATCAGTCGGAGTCTGTTGTTAGGTTGAGTGCTAGTTAAACGATAAATTGCTATTTTACCCACACCACCGAATGGAACAGCCACCATTGTTAGAGATATTATCTTCATTATAATAAATACAGAATATTTTTGGAATATGCGGACACAGGCCACTTGATGGCGCTGTTCTATTTCAGCTTTCTATTTTGTGATTTTAGCGCAAACGAGAGTTGATATTTAAAAGTGATATAAGGCCCATTTACCTGATGAGTTGCCAGTGATGGATGTCCCTTATTTTGTCTCTATTTCTGGATATATACTCGATGGTCCTACCAAACAATATTTTTAAAAGCGTTTTAATAGGTTTGTTTTCATTGACCATTTCCAGATTCTATTGGGACAACGATGTGCAAGATTGTCTGGAATTCGTTTATGGAGGATGCCACGGAAATGCGAACAGATTTGAAACAAAAGAAGAATGCCTTCAAAAATGCGGCTCTAGATAGTTTGTGTCAGAGACATTAAAACAATCTCAATATAATGTAATCTGACGTTTATTTTATTAACCGATTTCAAAAAAGGATGAGGTGTTTGATGTTTGGTGATTTTTGATTATTATTGAAAAGAGGGTAACTCTGTAGTGGTCCCATTTAAATTTCATGAAAATATTCTTCCGCTAAGGGTGGCAAACTAGGGGATGAATGACTTTTGAGGTTGGTTTTTTTAGTACTTTGTACTGATATTATAACAATAAAAATTAGCCAACAGTATGTTCACATGATATATACAAAATAATATATAAAAATTTAAAATTCAGTGAATAGCGACATCTCTAGTCGGGTCGGCTGCTAAAGCTGTAAAGGTATCTAACTGGGTGACGAAATACTTTCATAGATTCCTCATAGATGGCGCTACGGCTAAAAGTCGTTGAAAAACCAAATGCAAAGAAACGACAACAAGCACATAGAAAAATTGTGAGGTCCGCTGGATCGTTCCGTGACTTAGTTGGTATAGCGTCAGCCACGGTAAGCTAGAAGACGTCGGTTCGAATCCGGCTGGATCGATGGATTTTTTTCTAAGTGTTCGATCTGAGGTCATCATAATATTATTATAATAAACAATTAGCACGGCTCGTCCAGAGCAAAACCTAGTAAACGACAATTTTATTCAAAATATTTTTTTAATAGAATACTTCCGTAGTACTTAATTAAATACTCAGCTGATGGCGGTGACAGTCGCTTCATAATTCTACAATTTATCAAACTTTTCGAAACTTTAAAACCCAGTAAGGCACACCCAGCCTGGTTCGTGACCAGTCGAATATATTTTAAATTACTTTACCCAATTGAAAACACAACAAGTATTTGACACTTGCTAGGTTTTAAATTGAAGCACTTAATTAAAATTACTTACTGGGTATTTGAATCGGTAATTAGTGGATTGTGGAATTTTAAATGATACTGAAAATATTTGCCGTTTCATTCATAGAAATATTTTTATTAAGACAATGTATAGGTAAGGTAAAGAAGACAATAAAAGCTTAACTACTAGAAAGTAAAGTCAAAGTCAAAGTCACAGTCAAAGTCAAAGATTATTTATTCCATAGGTAAAATAAATTTACACTTGAAAACGTCACATTTAAGCTACTGCTCGTTCACTACGCTGACCTCCTTGAGAAGAACGAGCAAGAAACTTTAGGGATTGCTCTTTCCAAATAAACTTAAATGCTATGAATTACACTTTGAATCAAGTTTGTGTGGATTCTGGAGCCATGTCGTCTTTCCATACATCTTTATCTAACACGTAGTCTTCAACTTTTTAATATAATTTTTCGATCAAAATATTGTTAATGTAGTTTTGAAACTTAGGAAATGATAAACTTAATATATGCTCCGGAATCTTATTGTAAAAACGTATACAGTTTCCCATAAAAGAGTTGTTTACCTTGGTTTAACGAAATCGTGGTACCATGAGTTTGGACTTAGCTCTAAGGTTAATATTATGGATATCTTCTTTCTTATTGAAATTATGTCTATTTTTACGGGCTTATAAAATATTTGAGTAAATGTACTGTGATGCCACAGTCATGATACCAGTCTCCTTAAACTTTTCTCTGAGAGAAACCCGAGAGCCTAGACGGTACACAGAACGAATCGCTCGTTTGTGCAATACAAATAAGGTTTGAATATCTGCCGCTTAACCCCACATGAGAATCCCGTAGGACATTATACTATGGAAGTAACTAAAGTAAACTAGTCTAGCAGTACTAACATCGGTAAGCTCACGTATTCTGCGGACCGCGTATGCAGCGGAGCTTACTCTGCTGGCCAGAGACGATATATGTGGAAATCATTGAAGTTTACTATCTAAGGGAGATGGGATGGGGCAAGTATGCCGGGCACATGTGGCATCCCACACCAGTGCCCGGCCCATACTCCAAGGAAGTATTAATTAATTAGTCAAACAAACTCAAATTCCATTTTCAGGTCTATTGAAAGCAGCGTCACAACCTTTTCTCGGCGGTGACATTAGCTGAGTGGATCCTTCCACTCACGCCACAGCCGCACACATGAGATCCTCGTACACAATAGTGTTGACTATTTCAAGTTTTTGCTTTGTTGTCATTTCATTACCTAATGTTAAGATTTGATTTTTTTCATTTTATTTTGTTTTTGTTATTCTATAATAATAATAATAACGCACACACTCAACATAGCCGACTAGGGAATCCTTATGTCGCGGGTGCCATGGACACACACATAGACAACCGCAAAAAAAAAAGTAAATATATTAAGTACTAGTAAATATTTCTCCCGGCCCGGGAATCGAACCTAGGACCTCTGCGGATACCGTGCCGGACTGACAAGTCCGGCACGGTATCCGTTCCGCCACCGAGGCAGATAATTCTGTTTTTTTTTAAATTCAAATTCAAATATATTTATTCATCAACATAAGTTATAGACATTGACTTACAATTATATGGACGTCGTCGGGTCCGCGGTACAAAATTGTCCGAACTTATAGGGCGTTAAAATCGTATACAGAGCGTCATTCACGCTTTAGTCTTCGTTTGTTCGACTGACAGCGAAGCAAGCAAAATTAGACAGTACTGCGATGACATTACAATTTAAATTCAACGTTTTAGCTTTTTCATATTCCTTTACATGACACTATGTTTAAATAGGTTGACCTGGGACATTTTTTTCGTGGTTTTTGTATTAGACCCGTCGTCCATTTATTTGTAAGTCAATGGTTATAGAAGATACATTGAAATACATGGTGATAAATAAATTTATGGTGACCCTCTATGCTGCGCCTTAAGTCATACGAACTAAATAAATATTATCTCCAAAATTTCGCTATATTGATGTGTTATTCATATACGAATTAATTTCAAAGTTACAGGACAATACTGTAGCTTTGAAACAAAATAGGTAATATTAATATATCTTAAAGGTATTTTGAGATAATACTATGTTAGTTGTCATGTGCGATGTTGTTTTTACAGTATGTTAACCTTTGACGATGCATACCTATAAGTGTTATTATTAGCTGTATACAGTAAGTTGCATACGTCTCGATAACCTTAATAACCCACCATTGACAATAACTCTGTTGCCTTTATCCTTCTTGACAGATACCTAATAGATTTCATTGCGTCGGGTTCGGAACTTTATTTTTAACTTAACTATAATAAATAAATAAACCAGAATCTCACATGATAATAAAAATAATAATCACCATCATCATATCAGCCGGAAGACGTCCACTGCTGAACATAGGCCTCCCTCAAAGATTTCCAGACAAGTCGATCAGACGCGACGTGCATCCATCAGTTACCCGCCAACCTTGCCAGGTCATCCCTCCATCTAGTAGGGGGCCGTCCCACTGAACGCCTTCCGGTTCGTGGTCTTCATTCAAGAACCTTTCTGCCCCAATGGCCGTCACTACTGCGAGCTTTGTGCCCTGCCGTCTTCTTCGTTCTTCTACGGATCTCCTCATTTCTGATTCGATCACGTAGAGAAATGCCGAATAATATGCCTTATTATTATAATCGCCTTATGGCGAGGTGTTTAGATTTTAGGGGGTGAGGTGTGTGGGGTCGCTCATTGCGTCCCGTAATCCGCGCAATGTAAATTAATATGAATAAAATAAGAACAGGCAGAGAAAATTTGACACAGTTTCGACGTCGACAAGCGCCCGATGGCGACTGACGGGGCAGTCAAACCGCTGAGAAATTTACAAATATCAATTCAAAACTAAACAGGTTCTCTGTAGTACTCAAAGAGTTATATGTTTTATTCTTAATTGATTCGTTTTAGGATTTTATATGATCGGATAAAATACATCCAGTCGTATAAAAATTAGAACATTCTTTAGACATTATGTTTTTTGTAACTCGTAATAAATTAATGCGTAGTAATTAGCAACAACGTTATACGTTATCAACTAAACATTAAGTATGTAATGACACTGATGAATATACAAACAGACGCAAGAGAAATTTCTTAATTCACAAACAACAGTGAAATCATCAGTCTTGCAGAGCGTTTAGTGACATAAAGTCCTAAAAATAATTTAGTTAAAGAAACAAGATTAAATCATGAAGACTTGCTTACTTGGCCTAGTTATACTTTTTTCGGTAAGAATATATATTATAGATTTTCCAACATGATTAAATTATGTATTAGTTACACACTTTTTTAAACTAGAACATTACTATTAAATATAAAATTATTAGCTTTAAATTTAATGCATTAGAAGAACTTTTCGTAGGAGTAGAGCTCTGTGCGAAAGAGTTAGTCCAGAGAGGTACTACCTTTTCTGTAACCTTATGCGTTTCGATTGTGAAGGGTTATGGTGCTAGTGACAATACAGGCACTTGAGACGATACTGGAACGCAGTAATGCTCACACTTCTTGGCGGCAGAAATAGGCAGATAAGATGGCAGTACTTTCTTAGACGAACTCTTTCACAATCTCTACAGTTACTATATAAGCATATCGAGCTATTATTACAATAGTTATATCGAGTTCTTAGGTTTTCGCGATTGTTACACATAGAAAATGAAACTATTTTTCCGGATTTAAATCGCGTATATTTGCTTTTTCAAACAAATCGACGTTTCGGGCCCTTTACATGTCCCATGGTCACGGTTGACTATTTATTTCCTAAATACAAGAGTTTATTAAGAAGGAGCAGAGGAAAAATTCCCAATCTTCGATTTGATTTTGGAGGGGTATATCCACTTTAAAGTTAAAAATAAAATATTGTATGAGTAACTACACGATATATTCAAGTATAGACACTAATCAGAAACACAAAACAATAAAGTTTCCTCGATAGATAAAAATCACGAAATGACCTCTAATTTCCACATTTTTTCAATTCATCCTCGATGCTACAGGTTATTAGGACAAAAAATAGAAAATTAATTATATTTATGCATGATCGAGAACTGTCACTACGGATTTTTTTAAATCCCTTTAGTTTTAGAGTTATTCCGCTAAAACGAATTTGGTACTTTTAATGCGCAAAATTCATCATCTCTTGTCGCATGTCACGCGAACTTCAGGCATATATTTGTGTCACAAATTTGGGCGGAACCAACGTCAAAACTTTTTTGGCATGCTCCCTCTTAACTCAAATAGTGTACTTTCTCAGAATCGACGAAAAACGAATTACTCGCTTCCCGTGAAAGGTCTGTGTAAATTTTTGTATAAGTTATTTCTTACTTGCATACTTAATTAAATATACAAGAGAAAAAATAGGTTTATATTTTTGTATAACAACAATTTTTGCCAGAACTTGCTCACATAAAGCGTGTTTCATTTTGAGTCAAGTAGATATATTTTAGTTGTTTTTTACAATATTCTAACGACGGTTTTATTGACGTGAAGAGAATCAAATTTTACTTTCAATAATAGCATAATCTTGAATTTCACAAATTTTGAGTTATAACACTATTGTAATGGCAGTGCGATATCATTCGAGCAAACAACACAAACGGCGAACAGGCTGCGATGTACCTGGTTCCCCGGACCCCAATGAACTACCCTCTGAATTGAAAAAAAAAGTATTACGACAATATGAAATCGAAACTTAAAACTCATTGGAAATTAAACTAGGTATTTATCCGGATTTAAATAGCGTACATTTGTTTTTTCAAACAAACCGACGTTTCGGGTCCTTGTCCCTTGGTCACGATTGACTGAGGTGGTACAGTTATCAACCAGTTATGTCTAGTATTAATTAATGCAAACTACCTTATTTTTCACAATAGTCACAAAAGTTTTTAATGAATTACTTTATTTTTAAATTTTACAAGGAACATTACAATTTAATTTAATAAAATATTCATGTAGTTAATTGTTTGAAAAAACAAATCGCGATTCAACTCACGAAAAATAGTTTGAGTTCCTATGTGTAACAAGCGCGAAAACCTTAGAACTCGATAAAACTCATTTCTTAAACAATTTAACTTAGAATAATAACGCAAATTTAAATGCTGCAGAAGCTTAGAATTTTAATTACCACAGCTTGTTAGTTGCTTTTTGTTCTCTTTTTTTGCTGAAGAACACTTTATTATAGTGTAGTATATATAGTATAGTATGTATGGTATACTATAGGCATATAGTATACTTTATTATAGTGTAGTAAATCCTAGTGGTTTCTAAATGTAGTAATAATTGCGTGAAATGTAAACTAAAAAAAAAATAACCACCACATAATTTTTTTATCTGGCATTTTTATACTTATTATTTACTAAACACTAGACAATTATTTCTTGCTAACTTTATTTATTTATTTTTCCCTTTGCAGGTCATTGCAGATTTTTGTGATGCAAGTAAGTAACCGCTTAATTAATTTATGGAAATTGATTACGGTGGCTGAGATGACATTTTCACTTTTTTTTTATTTACTACAACGCGACTTGCGATTCTATACTAATAAAATAGATATACAAAATATAGATCGTTATCATATTGAGGCATGACCGCCGATTGATCGTAAGCTACAATTTTATCTAAATATTTTTTAATAATAAAAATAATTAATAATTTGACTCTTAATAACATTATAAAAATACAAAATTAAAAAACAGCTGGAATTTCTTTACATTTTTCTTTTAAATGTGTAGGAAGACTCGCAGAACCAAAAGGACGACTAGAGGGTTGGATATCTTAAGACATCAACTGTATTGCGTTGAGAAACTTGTCTCTAATGCATTTGGGTGGTTGTACACGACGTGACCACAAGTTCCGATTATATTTATCATATCTGGTGATCGTGCTTTAAATAATACACTGTGATGTCGATTATAGAAAAATAATAAAAAATATTTTTTTTTCCAGCTAATGCAAATACTTGTAGTTTACCACGAGCAATTGGATTATGTCTGGCTTCTATTCCCAGGTTTGTTTGTTTTATTTAGTTGGATTCAAAACCAATTATATTTTGTGGTTCGAAAGTCTGCAGTTTCAAATAATGATTTAACTGCATCGCGTATATAGGCAGAAATAGAGACGAAGTGTCGTTTAACTTGTTTGAAAATTGCCAAATCATTACGGTGACAACTGCGCTCCGATTGACCAGCTCGAATTCGAAATGGCGGGGGTCGTCAATTGTTTCACTTCAAATCGCCCAGTGTAACTATAATTGCAAAGTTATATATTTAATTACCGATGAAATATGATTCCGTTTGTTTTGTAATTACATTAATTAAATTTTTATTGAATTCATATTCAATTATTTTTTGTGAAATTACTCCAATAGTTTGTTATAATTATTAATACAAAGATCGAACACTCAGAAAAAATTCCTTCGATCCGGTCGGATTCGAACCGACGTCTTCTTGCATACCGTGCCAGACGCTATACCAACTAAGCCACGGAACGAACCAACGGACCTCACGAATTCTTCTATGTGCTTGCGTCGTGTCTTTGTACTTGGTCTTTCAACGACTTTTTAGTCGTAGCGCCATCTATGAGAAATCAGTTGCAGATTTATCATCCAGTTAGTACCTTTACAGCTACCAGTCCTGGCGAGAGATGTCGCTATTCACTGTATTAATTAAATTTTTATTGAATTGATATTCAATTATTTTTTGTGAAATTACTGCAAGAAGACGTCGGTTCGAATCCGACCGGATCGAAGGAATTTTTTCTGAGTGTTTTTTCTGAGTGTTCGATCTTTGTGTTAATAATTATTGTAATTACATGTTTTGATGTTTTTCCCTCACCACAGAATGGAACAACCCCCATTGTTAGAGATATTATCTTTATTACAGTAAGTACAGAATATTTTAATGAATGGAGACGTACGCACCGGTCAGTTGTTGGCGCTGTACTATTTCAGTTTTGTCATTTGTAATTTTAGCGCAAACGAGAATTGATATTTAAAAGTGATATTAGGCCCGTTTGCCAAATGAGTAGCCAGGAATGGATGGCCCTTATTTTGTCTCAGTTTCGGGTTATATACTCGATGTTAAACTGCCTCGGTGGCCGAACATTTACCATACTGCACTGCCACGCAGAGGTCGGAAGAAATATTTGTATGCCTACCTTTATTTCTCACGTGAATTTGGGTCTATTTTGTGGTTGTCTGTGTATGTGTCTATGGCACCCGTGATACAAAGTTTCCTTAGTGCGGAACTATAAGTGTGGGCGTTATAAAAAGATGTGACTTTTGAACAATATCAGAAATAATTTATTAGTAACCGAATTTTCTAAAATCCAATTGTCATTTATAAGTACTAAATCACTTATCACCTTCGGAATTGAATGATCTAGCATTATTTCTCTGCAGTACGTTGAATTTTATGTCCCTTAAGCCCTATTCTAACTTACGTATGTACCACAACTCTGGACATAATAAACGGTTAATCATTAAAAGAAAAAGCATTAGACATATTAGACTTATTTTTATTATGATTATCAACGCGTATTCAAAAAAGTATAAAGTTTTATCGTTTAAAATTTATAAGCAAGTTTTCCCATCTCTATTAAGCGCAGGCCACACTGAGAGCGAAGCTAAGGTGAGTTATATCGAGTTCTTAGCCGCTCACGCGATGCGCTCCTCCTACCGCAAAATGGCGGCTAATTTGTTTCGCAAATTAGAAAAGCATTCGGTTTAAATACAAGTTTTTATAAACAAAAATTATTATTCTGCATTGCAAAATAAATACCCTCCGTACTACCAACAAAAACATCTCAAATAAAATGCAGTAATACACCGCAAATCCTGCACTTAAAAAGCACTAATGAAATTTTTGGTGTACTTGGATAAATATGATAATATTCCGTTTGAGTGGTTCTAACGTTTACCATGAAATTACTCCTTAAAGTATAGTTTATAAACATTTATATTCGGGGTAAACTTAAAAAATGCTACTTACGGTATGTTTTCCATAAATAAACACCGAAATCACCAGCCTAAACAATAACACATATGTACACTTAGGTAATGAAACAATTTTTCCGAATTTAAATCACTTATATTTGTTTTTTCAAACAAATCAATGTTTCGGGCCCTTTACAGGTTCCGTCAACCGTGACCATTGGACCTGTAAAGGGCCCGAAACGTTGATTTATTCGAAAAAACAAATATATGCTCTTTGAATCCGGAAAAATAGTTTCATTTCCTAAGCTGAGTTAGCTTTATTCACGTAGCTGCATTTTTTTATGATACCAGGGGACGGGGCCTGGTGGTAAGCGACACGCCTAACCATAGCAGTTGCAGTTGCAAAGACCTGACACTGCCACTGCACCCGTAGCGCTGAGACATGAGATGACAAGTACCATGTGCATATAATTTCACCAGCACCCTTTACCCTTTCAGTCCGGAACGTAGTAAGGCTGACATTATTGCTTGTGTTGTGTT